TTATGGTGTTAAATATATTTCTTCATATTTATAATTTTCTTTTTTATCATTCTCTATTTTATAAATATTTTTAAAAATTAAAAATCCTCTCCCTTAAATAACAAAATTGTGTTAAAAAATGATATTGATATTTATGGTTTCGACGCACTTGTTTTTTTTCGGGGTCCCCCTGCCCCCCGCTTCTTACCCTGTCCAAGTGGAGGCTCTGTGTTAGAGGCTTCTCCAGACCGACATAAATCAACACCAAAGTCGAAGAGTCGCTGGAATCTGACCCCGCGACCCCCTGAACCCTTGTCTTTCCGCTTATCTGCGTGACAACTGCATTTCAATTCATAACAATTAAGTTCGAACATCGAGAAAAGCAACAATTCTAATCGTGGCCAGGGTTAACGGGTTCATCCTGGTATGTTTTCTTATATATTTTTTTTGGGAGACTTTTGTCATGTTATCATGTGAGATAGTTGCCGCCGCGATGACAGGGCCACAAATCCAGTTCTTTGATAAGGATAACTCCAAAGGGAGGATACCCTTTTCTTATTTGTGGAAGGGTGTTTTGGGTATGTGGGGATTTGATAAATATATTTTAAATATATATTAATATTTATGTGTAAAGTAGAAACGAATTTCAAATTTTTAATACAGGGTATTACTTATATTTATTTATATTTTAAACAACTTTTTAAACCATACACTTACCTCAGATCGAAGTACTCCTTGGTTTTTTAATTGTTTTATTTCTCTATAAGTATTTTTTAGTGAACTCCCACTAAATTCTTCCTAAAGGGTATCCCTCAATTCGTTACGATTTGGTTTTCTTTAACCATTTGCTTCGCTTGTTTTACGCTCTCCCAAAATGAAGCGATCAAATTGTAATTACAAGCGATTTTCCACATTTGATTTATTCATTGCGCCAGATTTATGACCCTCCCAACCGATAAGCGAGCGATAGATTCCCCAGTTTTTTTTTCCTCTATAAAAATATATATATACTAAGTATATGATGTATATTTAAAATAGCAGAATTATACTCGATCCCGATCCCGAATCCCTAGCCCGGATTCCCGATCCTCTTTCGGTTCTTAATGACATGGCCATTCATTTCGTGGCCCAAACAGACTCGACGCCGTCGAGTGGGCGTTACCAACTAACTGACAGGGCCCAAAAGCAAACAGAGAGGAGCGGTATTTACGAGGACTTGGGGCCGTGGTTATGCCTTCATAAATTGTTTTATTATTATATAGACTTGATATATGGCAACTGGCCCAGGTCCGGGTCGGGTCCTGTCAGTTTATTGGTTTAACTAATTTGTGCCCCGATCCTCTTGGCCTGGTCTGTGTGGGTAATTAACGTTTATGATGCAGCTGCCTGGGTCCTTTTTTCGTTCGCATGTATATATTCTGCATTTAGTATTCCCCATCACAAATTTGTCAAATGTCCCTGTCCTGTCCCTTTTCCTGCGGCAATTTGCATGCAATTGTCATTCAATAAAATTCAAATTAAATGCAATGCTAAAATATATATATATATATAAATCAACTGAAAGTCAGACAGATGTTCTAGGCAAATGATGTAAGACGATCATGATGATTATGCACCCTCTTTGCTTATCGAAAATCCATCCATACATATTGGCCCAATGTGTTGACAAACTTGGCCCAAAAGATTCAAGGGGAATACGAAAAAAAAGGAAGAAAACTCGACAACAATTTTGTTGTCACAAAGCCAAACTGTCAACGAGGGATCCGATCGGATCGGTTCCTATCTCCCCGGTAGCCCAGGGAGCCCCTATACCTTTTTAGCAATTTTCGGTTCCCTGCAGGTGCTACTTTAATCCCCGCGCACAAAATAAGAATAAGAAAAAAAAGGAAGCCCACCTTTTGTTGGTTTTTCGGCGGCTCTTCAACCTCATCATCGAGATCCTGATCAGCTGTGGCCGCCTGTTGACATTGCAGCCTCTCTTCATATATTTTTTCTTCCTTTGGATTGACTATCAGATAATGCCTTGACGCTTCTACGGCAGGTTCCACTGTGTGTTCGCCAGCACAGGTGCGTTAATAGACGCCATTTAAGGGGACAAGGGCTACTTGAAACAAGGAAACTAAAAAAACAGGGCACAGGCCACAGGACACAGGACATAAAAGACACTGGGACACAGATGTCACCTGCTGATGGCATCGCTAATCGATTACATGGGCACCACAAGTAGCCAAGATTTAGATAAGTAGATGGAACCATCAGTCCAAGTCCAAGGGTTGTGAGTCAATTTTTTGTTGGAAATTTACAGGAATTGAGAGGAACTTACAGGAATTTACAGAAAATTATAGGAAATTCTGTGTAGAATTATACAGTAAAATATTATATATTTTTTTATATATATATTATATTAAATAAAAAATAAAATAAATATTTATTTTATACATTTCTTCGCAATCTTAGCTAGAAATTTCCCTACTTTTTATTATTCTCAATCCTCAATATCCTTTTCATTTAACTCCTTGTTCTTGTGTTCTCTCATCTCAAAACCAAATTACAACTCAATTGTTGGTCATTTTATTTTTTGGGCCAGGCTAATTGATTAGCCATTAACCCCTATGTGGGCTAAGGACAACTGAGCGACACCTTAACACACTCTTGGGCCAAAGGAACGGAACGCACTGAGCCTTAATTAGGCTTAATTATGGGCAGGAGCCGGGTTGTTGTTTTTTGTTGTTGTTACCTTTACGTTTTCTTTTTTTTTTTTTTGTTTATTTTTTCTTGGCCTCAACACTTTTGGCCGGGGGAAATTGAATTAGCCGCGGTGGCTCTCCGTTAAATGTGTGTGGCAAAAACAAACAACGAACGAACGAACGTTGGTCAAAAGGTGCAAGTTTTACACGTAACGATTTGCACGAACCTGAATCTCGGCTGCTTTGGGTTTTGTTTTGGGCCAGAAGGAAGTTTCAGCCAGCGAGCGAGCGAGCCACCAGCACAAACGAGAGCAAATCGTTTTGTTGTCGAGCAAGAGCTCGAGCTGGAGCCAGAGCTGGAGCCCAGGGTTTCAGGCTTAAAAAAAAAAAACACACACACAGTATAAGCGGCGTGCGGTGTGGGCCCAGGAAACTGGCTCCAAAGTCGGCCTCGCTTGGGGCCATGTCTCTGGTCTTGGCCCGGTCCCTGGTCTCTGGCCATAACAAGCTGCCAACAACTGGCGCCAAGTGCTCAATAATGTTAACGAGCTATTCAGTTAAGACAACACACATACAGAAAAAAAACAGTCCAGGCCCAAAAAGCGAATAAAATATAAAAAAAAAAAGGAAAACCAAAGCAAGGCAAGGCGAGGCGCAGACAGACGTGCCTTCGTTCCTGGCAAATAAAAAATAATTTGCAGTCGAAAAAGGCAGGCAGACACCCCCCGAGAAAAAGCGGGGAACTGGGTGCCTGTGCCTGTGCCTTGGTACCTCCTCGGTCGGTGCTGCGCTCTCCTCCAAATAGAAACATCCTCGGTTCGGGGCTTGCCCTCCGCCTCCTTCGTCTGTCCAGGTCCCGTCCCGTCCCGTCCCGTGTCCAGACCCAGCCCGTCGTCCAGTCAGTCAGACAGACATCAGTCAGCTTGTTAGCCCTCGAACGCCTCACCCTTTGATCGGGCCCCCCAGCCCAGGGTTTGTTGGTTTTTATCAAAATGCAGTCGCAGCTGATGATGATCTGTGAACATGAACAAGACGTTCGTTAAATTTGATTCATGAGGCGCTCTCGGACCAAGAGTCCCAGCCTCAACCTGAATTTGTGGCTGCACAAGATAGGGACACTGCTAGAAGAATTTTATAAATTTATATAAAATTCTATGGAGACCTTAAATGATGAATACATTTATTATACTTCTGACTTTGTTATAAAAGTTATACAAAAACACTTGAGAACTATAAAAAATTATTATATTAAACAAAACCAAAGGTTAAAACACATTAAAAGCTTAAATTTCATTTCATAAACAGAGGAAAAAATTCGTAAAAAATATAAAACTTGAATATTAAGCATCCTACTTGACTAAAACCACTTGGGAATCATAAGGACATTCAGTGGTTATGCAGTCTCTCAATACAAAAAACACCATTCAAGTCATGAAGCTCTCTTAAAAATTCAATTCTTAACACTCTTGAGTATTTCCCTTTTTCTTAATCACAATTTAAATGCAATTTCAAGGACTAACCCATAAGATTTTGCTCAGTGCAGCTGTTGCCAAACCTGAACCTGAACAGCGATTGAGTGATTGCTACTTAAAGTTATAATTTTCATATTTATGCCCGTGTGTGTGAGTGTGTGTGTGTGTGAGATCTCCTCTGGCCAAAGACGCCTCATCCTACTCCAGGTCCTCTCCTCATCCTTCTCTCCTGGTTGTGTTTTTTTTTCGGGGAGCTGGAGGGACAAGGAACGACATCGTCTGCGCCCGAGCCTATGCCTGCGCCTGTGCTGTGTGTGTGTTCCCCCTTTTGGCTGGGCCATGTAATTTTCGAGTTTGCACATTGCCACCAACATGGCTAATCAACCTGGCCAAGAGGAGGTAGTGCAGAGAGGAGGAGCTCCGCTCAGCTCTTTGGGCCAATTTGAATTCGGGCGGGGAGAGAGCTCTAGAGCTGGGAGCTGGGATCTGAAGCTGTAGCTGTAGCTGAAGCTGAAGCTGAAGCCTGGACTCGACTGAATCGAGTCGAAACAATTTGTGGCTTGGCGCCACTTGATAACCCGGGCCCCGCCGAATCGTTTGGGCCATGGGTTTGTTTGCTTTTGGCCAACAGCTTCAGCTTCGAATCCGATAATGATGATGATGATGATTGTTGCGATCTTGGACTTGGTGGACGGGCCCCCTGAGAACCAGAGAATACGTGGTCTCAGAACCCAGGGACTTGGGATCTCTGCACTGATTAATGCTTTATTTGATTACCCCGGGAAAATGAGTGTATATATACCCACAAAGCACACCCAGTTCTCTAATTCCTCATCTCTCTCTCTCCACTCTCCTTTTGCAGACAAATGTTTCCGCAAATGAAATTTCGTGTTTCGGGACTGGATGCCAAGGCTAAATACATCTTGCTACTGGACATTGTGGCGGCGGACGATTACCGTTATAAATTTCATAATAGGTGAGTTTTTTATATATACTTTTTTTGTATTTATTTTTTATATAATTTGTTAAATTGCATTCATTGCAGTCGCTGGATGGTGGCTGGTAAAGCGGATCCCGAGATGCCAAAACGCATGTATATCCATCCAGATTCACCCACAACGGGTGAGCAATGGATGCAGAAAGTTGTTTCATTTCACAAATTAAAATTGACCAACAATATTAGTGATAAACATGGATTTGTAAGTACTGTACGTCTTCTTTGTTTACCGCATTTAGTTATCTAAGACCACACCATTAATGCCTATAAAAAACCCTCAACAAAATACAAAAAAAACCAAAATCGAAACCAAAAACCTTGAAGAAACAAAGTCTAAGGATATTTATGTTAGGAACTTCACTTGAAACTTTGCTTATACATTTTTTTTGGACTTCCTTGATAGTAAAATCGTTTGAAACTTATTTAAACTATATTTTTTAAGGCAGTTTTGTCAGTAAGTTCTTTTTGAAACTAATTAAATTTTGTTAAATTCTGTGTGTGCTTTGAAAGAATGCTTTTTTGCTTGACTGAAAATATTATTTTGGGTTTTTTTTAGAAGCCTAAATTTGGTTTGAATGTTTATTCTTATGAAATTATAGAGCTAGCCAGATAGGATATATGGTTTCAGGAGATTTCCCTTTAGGATTTGAGTGATATTTCCTAGTTATTAACTCATTTAGTCTTCCTATATATACTTTCTCTAAAAATAAATATATATTTATAAATAAAAAAAAAAGGTCATAGAAAGACGGAACTGCCTTACATCAAAGCGGACTTTATCTAGGCCTCATATCACAGAGTCTGGGCCTCATAGTCGCCGCACTTTAAATACAGTTTCCAACTTCTCCAGATAGATACTCTTGTTTTTGTTTTTATATTTTTTTTTTGGTTCCTATATTTTTTCTAAATATATTTTTTTTCTCTATATATTTTATATATATATATAGATTTTTCTATATATGTATATATATTTTTTATATATTTTTTTCCTATATATTTTTTTTTTCTATATTTTTTTCCTATATTTTTTTTTCTATACTTTTTTCTATATATTTTTTCTATATATTTTTTCTATATATTTTTCTATATATATATATTTTTTTTTTCTTAATTTTTGTTCTTATATTTTTCTATATATATATTTTTTTTTTCTTAATTTTTGTTCTTATATTTATTTTCCCTATATTTTTTTTCTCTATATTTCCCCACCCCCACCCTCTACTTCCCTCTTATCATTGGAAAATTTGCATGGCATCCGAGTCGTTCTCGCTCCTCGGGTTTGCACTTTGAAGTCGCCATGGTCTCCTCCTTATCTAAAACTTCTCACACGCATGAAGAAGCGGGATGGATAAGCCCGGGATCTGGGCTCTGGGATCCTTCCTCCCCTCCTCCTCTCGGCAAAAGGAAAAGGAAAACTGAGGGAGGCGGGCGCCAAGCAAATTGTCGGTGGACTTTATATTATTTTTATATTTTTCTTTCATTTGAAGGCCGCTGCTTGGGCGCGCTTCTTTTGACTTTGTAGTTGTGCCGACGCCGATCGCGTAAATTTCATCAACTGCTGGGCAAATTTTCATTTTTTATTGATCGAACGATCATCGGGTGGGTTTCGGGGGGCCCACCCGTTGTGCCTATATGATGATGATCATCATGATCATGATCATGATCATCATTCGCGGCGCTGATCATTACGATCTTGGGCGGGCGCCATGTGGTTCTGCAGTTTTGTGTCATGTCTCCGCCTCCTTTCTTCCCTGGCTCTCGGGTTTTTGCATGCCGAGTCATAAATCGCACAGCGAACAAGCCGCAGCGGATAAGGGCTCCACCACCAGCTTGGTTCTCCATTCTCCGTTCTCCGTTTGCCGTTCTCCATTCTCCCCCGGACAATTGTCCGTGTCTCGTGTCCGGCGGTGTGCGTGGGCCTCCGCCTAAGTAGCCTGTGTTGGCCATTAATTTCGCTTAGTTCAAACGCCAAAAAGCCGACGCTGCGTGTGGCTGTTACTGAGGGGGAAATGTGACTAAAGCGATTTTAAATTGTATAGAAATTTATATATATTTTATAAGTATTTTAAATATATTTTAGATATATTTTAGATATATTTTATATAGATTTTGGTTATAGTTTAGACCATATTAGGGTACATTTAACGACCAAAATAAATATTTAAAATATTTTAAAAATTTTTTAAATATTTTTTAAAGTATTAAAAATATTTATTAACTGAAAACACTGATGAAAACCTTTGGAAAAAGCTATAGACAACAGCCTTCTGTTCTGGACTTCTTTTAAAATATCTCTAAAGTAGTAGAACCCCGTTTTAAATATATATAAATTATACTAAATATTTATATATATTTTTAACACTATATATTAAATCTTAGTTAATATTTCAATCAGCTTTCAAAGCAAAATTTCTCCTTCAGAGACACCTTACTTACCTCACTTTACTTCAAATAAATCAATATATAATTTGCTTAAATAATGAGAGATACTTTTGTTTAACTTTGATAGTTTTTTCTGGAAAATCAACAACAACACCAACACCAACAACAACAAATTGGAACAACCCCCTTTTGTTGAGTTTTTAAGTTCAGCAGCTGTTGGCGCTCTCAAAAGCGTTATAATCATATAATCATGTGATAGCAACTCTCGGACCCGTTTGCTATTTAAAGTCTATAATTTAACACTTTTTGCGGTCGGTGGGGGTCATTCTATATACACATACATATACCCCTTTGGGGGGGGGATCACCTTTTATAAGTTCGAGTTCGAAGGGGTGGTGCTTTAGGGGTGTTCACTGGGCGTTTTTCGAGTTTGGGTTTATGGCTGATTTCAGTGACTGCTCTCCGCTGGCTGCGTGTCAAAACAACGGAAAAGTCGTAGCAAAAGGGCCCTCGGAACGGGGGTACCATAATTGTGTGCCAGTTGAGGCACCTTTGTTTGCCCCGTTAAATTAAATATATACCTAAAAATAATATTCACAGTAGAGGTCAAAATCATAGGATAACGAAATAAAATTTATTTAAAAGGAAGATTTTAGAACTTCAAGATGCTAAATTTTCCAAAGAAAATATATAAAATATAATATTTAAAATATTTAAAATAGATTTATATATTTTTATTAAAAGTTTTTAGTAAAATATACCTTGTTAAATCTGAAAAAGCAAGCCTTTTTAGTCTTAATTTATTGACTGTGTGTGTTTATTACATATTTTTGTATAAATATATATACATTTAGCCAGGATTCATTCCGATTTTGGCCCCCAAAGCCTGGCGGAAACGGAAGCGGCTTTTCATACATTGAAATGCACTTAACGGGCGGCAGAAAACGCGCGCGTTTTTAAACGCCCTGTTTTTAGACTGTATGTGTGTGTATGTGCTAGTGTGTGTATATGTGTGCCTGCTGGTCGGCCATGTTGCGGCAAGAACCACCCTAATAAGGCATTAATGGGCTTTGGGGTGGGCCAAACAAGAGAGGGTTGGTAGGTGGAAGGTGTCGCATTAATGCGTTTAATTGTTGCAGCTTGAGTTTTGGGACACTCTTTACTCCAATTAGCACCATTCGATGGAAGAAGATGTACACTGAGAGGAAAATATAGTTAATTAAAAGGCTTGTATATATTTTTCTATATATTTTTATATATGCAAGTGATTGGTTTTAAGAGAAAAAGAATTTTATACTCCCAAAACAAAATGTAAATAGTTTACAATCACAAAAGATGAATCTTTTAATAAATATTCCATTGATTTATTAATGAAAAAGTAAGCAAAACCTGGACATTAAAGAGGTTTTCTTAATGTTTAATAAATATTTCAAAAATATATTTATATAATATATATTTAAAATATATATTTAATCTCCAACTGACATATCTTGCCAAAACAAAAAGACGTGTCTTTAGGGGAGAGTAAAGAGATGTCAAATCGGTTTTGTTTTTAGGGGGTTGGGGGTTAATGGGACTGCTGCGCCCTGTCTGCTGCCATTAGTTTCCCCATAGTTCAAAGCATAGTTGGCCATCTTCTGTGCCCATTCAACCATGGCCAAGTGGTCTCGAGAGCACACATCCACATCCAGAATCCAGTATCCCATATCCCATATCCCAAAAGCAGACGAAGCGAACAAAAAAAAAAAAATTATGTCCGAGGCGGAGGAGAATGGAATGAGAACGGGTTGACAAACTAAACTCAAGTGGAGTTCCATTTCCGGGCAAATTAATTGAGGCAGAGCGCGGGGCAGGGCACACCAGTGAGTCCTTTAAACCATTCCCTTCCAATCGAAGCTGCAGCTCCGTGTTCTCTGGTGGTTTTCTTGAAACAATTCGCTTAGAAAATCAAAGGCGGTCCCGCAAACTGCACGTGTGTGCGTGTGTGTGTGTGTCGGGATATGGGATATGGGCCAAGGGATATGGCCAATTTGTCTGCGAGGTCAGGTAGGTTAGGTGTTGCCCGAAATATACCATTTGAAAGGCTCCTTTGAAGTTGACAGCCTTGTCAGATCCATTCTGGACATCCTTGGGCATCCTTGGCTCGTGGAAGGATGTGTGTGTGTGTGCTCTCCTTTTTGGAATTGAAGTGGATTGAAGTGGATTGGAATGCTCATTGTGACGCCAATTAGGCCTGGACCAAGGTCTCCCAGGCAACACATTCGAACACAAGGACTTGTTATTATCTTTGCAACTATTTTTAAGGCATCTCGAGGGCTTTTAATAATTATCGATTCATGAGTTCAAGTTCGATTTTCTATATATATAGATACGCATTAGTCTGAGGATCGGTATCGGTATCGGTTTGGGTTGGGTGCAACCCTTAGGCATACAACCCCAAAAGTGCTAAGCCCTTAATGAGGATGCTTCCTGCTTCCCAGCCGCAATGATGATGATGATGACGTTGCCGGGTAGCTGCTGATGTGGCCGGAAGATAGGCCATATATACCATATACTGCTGCCTTTTGTGCCCTTAAATGTCTGATTTCTTATCTAAGACCTAATGCCATCAATTGCGGCACTGCGTCGGCTATCTTGCCGCCCATATCGTATCATATCCTATCCCATAATAAGGCAAAGAGTGCCATACTGGTCGGGGCACTAAATAACAGTGGTGTTCAAGAAAGTAGTACTAAAAATGCATGAGTTTAGAAAGCTTGAAATTAAGGTGGAATAAGAAGAATTTTAAAATAGTTTAGGAACCTTTAAAGGGTAAAACTTGTTGGGAAT